TGTGCGAGCATTCCATTCCGTAACGGCGTATTGTCTGTGCGAGCATTCCATTTCGTAACGGCGCATTGTATGTGCGAGCATTCCATTCCGTAACGGCGTATTGTATGTGCGAGCATTCCATTCCGTAACGGCGTATTGTATGTGCTAGTATTCCATTCCGTAACGGCGTATTGTATGTGCTAGTGTTCCATTCCGTAACCGGGCAGTGTATGTGCTAGTGTTCCATTCCGTAACGGCGTATTGTATGTGCTAGTGTTCCATTCCGTAACCGGGCAGTGTATGTGCTAGTATTCTATTCCGTAACAGCGCATTGTATGTGCTAGTGTTCCATTCCGTAACCGGGCAATGTATGTGCTAGTATTCTATTCCGTAACAGCGCATTGTATGTGCTAGTGTTCCATTCCGTAACCGGGCAATGTATGTGCTAGTATTCTATTCCATAGGCTATTCGACTGCCTAGCTCAGAAGTGATCCGTGTCTCTACAACAGAATAACCTCCTTAGTGTCAGATGAAACCCTCTGCGGAGATCCTTGTTGAAAAACGCATATATGATCGGATTAAGTCCGGAATTCGAGTAACCGATCCAGAATAGTACTGACACGACGACATCGGGAGTGACGCACGCGTCGCCGCACAGATGCGTCGCCAAGTACCACGTGAAGAACGGAAGCCAGCAAATCAGGAAGCATCCCATTATCATGCCTAGCGTCTTCTCCGCCTTGTGTTCCCTCCGCAATATCGTACGTCCCGCTTCGTTTCCCGCACCGTCCGCTAGATGGCAGTCCGCAGCGCGAGCACCGAGTTGCACCTGAATAGCGGCAGTCTCTCTGTGTATCTGCCGCGCTTGTTTGTTTGCCTCGCGGTACACCTTGTGATAGGTAAACAACATGACGACGGCCGGCAACCAGAAGGAAACCGTCGACGAGATAACAGCGTAGACACGATTCACCTTGAAGTGGCACACGTCCGGGTGAGCGAGCATGTACTCGTAGTTCCCAGGCGTCGTGTACCACTGCGTGTAGATCGGCACGAACGAGATGAGAGCAGACGACAGCCAGACGACCGTCAACATGATGGCGACCTTGCGATGAGTCATCACCGTCGGGTACATGAGCGGGTTGGTGACGGCGATGTAGCGGTCAACGCTGATGCAGCACAGATGCAAGATGGACGCCGTCGAGAAGAGAACGTCGCACGAGTTCCAGAAGTCGCAGACGAACTGTCCGAAGAGCCAGCGCTGCGCCAAGGTCACGCTGAAGTTGAAGGTCATCGCGAAGAGAGCGACGAGTATGTCGGCGACTGCGAGTGACATGATGAAGTGATTGGTGCGCGAGCGCAGACTACGGTGCAGAGCGACGCTGACGATGACGAGTAGGTTGCCTAGCACCGCCGCTGTCATAACGACGCACATCACCGTGATCGACAGCACGACGACGACGGTGTCCTGCGCCGCCTGGTGGTCGCTGTCCGTACTAGCGTTCGTGCGGTTAGCGAGTTCTCCGGCGGCCATGTTGTAACGCTGCTGCTGTTGCTGCGATCCTTTATCATAATCTGAAAGTGAAATGTCTTTAGTTCGATAAAATATTTTAATTACTTATAGGTGAACGGAAACAGCCGGAAGCCGGTTTAGAATTTAATGAATTTTGCTAAGAGTTGTAGTGCTCTCAGAACCGATGAAAGCAGGACAGATTTCTTCATATATCCGCGCGAATATTTCCGATGAAATAAGGGAATGTGGGAAGTGTAATTTGAATACTTATACTCATTACATGGGCTGTACACGAGGCATTACTGCAGATGACAGGCAACCATGTTCCTAAGTGTAACAAAGCAGAAACACTTAGCAGAACGACAAAACTCGAAAATATTCGTAAACAGACACACTCGTATTTTAGTTACTGCGTGTAACGACATGCATAAGATGTTTCGGAAAAAAAAATGTAATTAAATTTAACTGCACATATTAATCCAGACATATACGATCGATTATCTCTTTGCTGATGTTTTTTTTAAATTTAAAAATGTCAAAGGATTTCATAAACCAAATTTATTTCCCAAAGTATATGTCATTAAAGAGAGGATTTTTCGGATTTCCTGATTTAGAAAACTACATATCTGCCTTAATCCGTGTTTACGCGACCAATAGCACAAGACTATTCTGCATACAGTGACGCAAACGTCTGCATATAGCGTCGGATATTCTTCCTATGATACGATAATACACTACAGGGACACACGTACATGCGATATATTATATATATATACATGCACATATAGAAACGGGTACATATAGGGCCTATAACAACACGATAGCACACTAGAGGAACGCAAGTGTATGTATATATAGAGACGGGTACATATCTTACAACACGATAAGACGAGGGCATTCTGTTCATGGAGTCATGTACTCCTGGTTAATGTACTCCTGTCAGAGTATGGTGGTACTCTGCAGTGACGCGCTTCTCTCTCGCATACACACACATGCACACACTCTCCTCTCTCTCTGTCTCTTTCTCTTTCTCTCTCTCTCTCTCTCTCTCTTCCTCTCGCTCTCTCTCACATACTCTTACTCAGTCTCCCCCCTCTCTGTCTTTCTGTCTCTCTTTCTTCTCTTTCTCTCTCTCTCTCGCGGTTTCTCTCTCTCTCTCTCTCTCTCTCTCTCTCTCTCGTTCTTTTCTCTCTCTTTCTCTCTCTCGTTCTTTTTTCTCTCTCGCTCTCTTATTGAGGAAAACATGACCCACACCATACTAGTTATCAAGTGAGTCACGGCCGCGAACGCCACATCGACGGGCCCCAACAGCTGACGTCATTTGTCTCAATAACTGGTCATCGTACGGGACGTCACGGCTTCACGACTGACCCGATCGTAGTTGAAATCCTCGCGTGGGTTAGCATAGCGGTGGCTGTGTCGACAGCGCCCGCGCAAGGAGAGATGCGGGAATCGCGCGCAGGTCGCCGCCACGCGTACATCGCCTCACAAAATCATCGCCGGCCGGAGATGCGCAAGAAATCTTTAAATGGTTCGATGCGAGCTACAACGGCTAATTAATCACGATTGCTACAGTCGGCTCTGTGTGTTAGATTTACTGTCGGCTCTGGGCTGCTTCCGATAAGCGACGAAATATTCCCTGCGTCTACAAGCGCGGACAGCGAAACACGCGACGGTGTGAAGGACAGAGGGCGGCTAGCATCGCGCTCACGCTACAGTTGTCGTCTGCGCGGCTTTTAATTTAGACACGCGAGAGGGCGCCAGCATCGTTTAATTTAGACACGCGAAATGGCGCCAGGATCGTTTAATTTAGACACGCGAAATGGCGCCAGGATCGTTTAATTTAGACACGCGAAATGGCGCCAGGATCGTTTAATTGAGACTTTAAGTGTCGCGTCGGCGATATATATTAGCGTGGTCGTTTAGCGTAAGCAGTTACCGTTCTCATTTTTTCGATTCATCGATGCAAAATTACGATCGTATGAAGGATTAACGCGAGACAGCAGATTGTGCAGAATTCGGTTAGGATTAGGATTAGGGTTAGGGTTAGGGTATAGGAGTTATGGTTAGGCGTCAGGGCTGGGTTAGGTTAAGGTTAGGGGGTTAGAAGTAGGGTTAGGGTCACGGTTAGGTTTAGGGTTAGTGTTATGATTAGGGCTAGGATTAGGTTTAGGGTTAGGGTTAGGGTTACGGTTTAGGGTTAGTGTTATGATTAGGGCTATGATTAGTTTTAGGGTTAGGGTTAGGGGCGTTTAGGGTTACGGTTCGAGGGTATAGTGTTATTGATTTAGGGCTTCTTTATGGACTTAGGCTTCTAGGTAGGCTTAGTTACGGTTTAGGGTTAGTGTTATGATTAGGGCTATGATTAGTTTTAGGGTTACTATTATTGTTTAAGTCAGTGTGGTGTTAAAATTCGAGTTAGGATTAAATTTATTCTCACACTCCTAACTTAACCAAGAATTATGGTTAGGGTCATACTCATACGGCTGATCATTCTACAAACATTAAACCCAATTACTCTTCCCCAATAACACCGAAATACCCCCTAACCCCTCGAACAACAATGCGTTTCCCCTTCACTGGCTTCAACAACGGCCGCTATTTAAACTGCGTTCACTTCATTTCCTCATTACTCCTCACCTGCCACACACACACATGCATTGATGAAAGCAACACGCAGAGAGTGTATGGCTGTCGTCGTCGTCGTCGCCCGTCGTCGTCGTCGTCGTCTTCACACTATCGCCGTGTTGCCCTGCGAGCCAGCGAACGTTATGCCGGGTGCATTCCCGCGCGCGACGATGTGTTTCAACCACCCAATTGTCCGTTTGTGTGGGTTCTCTCTCTCTCTCTCTCGCTTCTCTCGCCTCTCTCTCCTCTCACTCTCTCTTCTCTATCGTCTCTCTCTCTCTCTCTCTCTGTCTCTCGCCTCGAAAGTGTGGTTCATTCGTCTGGCTGCTCTCCAGATCTTCCCTGGTCTCCACATCGCTCTCACGTAGCTTCCCCTCTCGCTTCTCGCTGGGGCGTCTAATCTCTTCCCTCACATACCCGGTCTGTTCTCCCATGGATACAGTCTTTGCTGCGGACACAGAACTCCAGCAGTTCATCTCTTCTGTACCGCACAGCTATACTCCTACTCAAAGAAAGTACAACCCACCCACCCAGCCACCAGGTCCGCTCGCGCTCTCGTTAACGGGTCTCATGATCAAGAGATAGTAAGCAGCGTCGCGTTCTATGGCTTACATTAAGCGCCTATTCATTGCCGTAAAGCTGGCCATCGCCGTGGTCCTCCCTCAGCTCTCGCTCTGCCATCTTAGCGTTCCTTCTTTGTTAAG